ACGCACACACAAACGCAGATATTAACAACGCAATATCACGATGCATTCTTCGCCCTGGATTGGATCAGTTGGCGGTAGAGCACGCACAGAAACAGTAAACATTCCGTGACCTAGGCTAGCGCATTCCAAGAAGCTTGATTGACTCCATTTGCTCGTTGGACAAACCTCGAAAATCGAATGCTTCTTGACTGAAAACGGTGGAGTTGAAGTGCTTTTTGGGATCTTCATTTTATGGCCATAACTCCATCTACGAGCTCTAAGCATCCTAAAAAATTAGAAATCGCAGCCACACACGGTTGATTTGCATATAAAAAAAAATTAATCAACAATTGCGACACTTACCGTTGTCGAAGAACGACAGATGGCGCTCCCGAACCTTGCTGAATATGGTCGTGTTCTTGTTGTAGGCGTTGTAGTGAGAAAGGGGGGGGGGAGAGAAGATGGCCAATTGTGCACGCGCACAAGGCGCATTTGTCACTACGACGGATGACGCTTGTCAGCCACTCGCGAGCAATGGATTCCCGCGTGGACGAGCGGGCGACCATATTTAACTAGGGAGGCTCAAGTGAAGGTGGGTGCAACTGCTAGATCGGCGATCACGGGACATGGACGCCATTTAATTGCTAAATTTTGCTGGGAGTCTATGGGGCAAAGGGTCGTTTTCTTTCCTAACTCAGGTCGTAAAAGCCCATTAAGGTGCTTGAATAATTTACACAATGTATAAATGATTACTTTTCCATAGCCACCAGTTTTGTTGCGATAGGTTAAGTATTTTTTTAACACGAAAAATGGTAAATTCCGCCATCTTGGACGTTGCTGCTTGTCTGGCATCTTAGCTTACTCCGCTCGACGTTGGAGCGAGAAGGAAGCGAGAGAGGCTGCGCCAAGGCGTTCGTTGCTTGCAATGGGAGGCGAGAGGAGGAAAGGCGCATGGAGCAACAGAGTTGCAACAGAGCGGGCGCCTGCTCTCGTGCAGGCAACACTGGCGCATATCCTTTCTCGAATCCTCTCCCTCAGGCGCCGCCATTAAATTGCAAACGCTCTCCAGGTTTTGAGTTGCGCCCACCCTCACTACAGCCTCCCTATATTTAACAAGGTTCGGTAGCGCCATCTAGCGTTTTACGACAACGGTGAGTTTGGCACTCATCTTTTAAATATGCATATCGGTCGCGCATAAATGTAATTCCAGTTCTTTTTTAATACTTTGGGCTTGTGGATTGAGTTATGGCAATAAAACGAGCACATTAGTGCCGCTTTATGTCCAGGCGCAGCCGACGCTACGAGCTGATGGGACCAATCAGGCAGCCTCATAAGCGTACTGTCATTGTGTTCGTCATATTTCTCTGCGTGTTCTGTCATCGCTGAACCAATCATAAACAGGGAAAGTCTGGTGACTTGCGCTGTTGACGCTGCTTTATTAATCTCATTACCTCGTAGCGTTGGCTGCGTCTGGACTTATGCTGGAACAAAGTATAGACCAAGGCACGGCCCTGACGTCATGCAACTGCGGTGCCGCTGTCGACGGCACTGCGCATGCGCGGACGCTCCACTTCGCGCGGATTCGGTCTCTGCGCACGCGCAGTGCCCACACCTGGTGTGGGCAAACGCGGTCGGGGCGAATATAGAAAAACACACACACACAGGACAGGCGCTTTGTTATCGAATCAGTCAACTACATTTCTAAAGTTTTTTTGTTGAAGAAGAACGATTTATTTTATTTTCTAGGGGAATAACTATTTTGGAGCAAATACCGGGCGCTCAAGGGGAAAAAAATCTATATGACCGCAACATTGAACTGAAAAACAAAATTAAATATTGGACTAAGCACGTATTGCCTTGATTTTGTGGCTACACGATGTTAAACTTTGTCATGCACAATCAAGCTAACTAAAGCAGTCCTGGACATCGTTTATTGGTGAAAATACTCTAAAGAAATATTATTTGCAGTGTGTGTAACGCAGCAAACACTTGCACCACGGGCATGGACCATAGCGCGTCTTCCGCAGGATGCTCGGACACCCACCTGCAGTCCTCCAAAAGGGCCCCCTCTTTCTGCCTGTTTCTTTTTGTTCGGTGCCTCCGCGTGGGCCCTCAGGCAAGGTCTCTTCCGGGGCCTTTGTCTCCTTGCAAGTTGGAGTCGGTTCGTCGTTCAGGCTCATTAAAAAAAGAAAAGAACAACGTAAGCTAGTTTGTTTCGGTTTATGAAAAAAGAGAAGGCTACAGATAAAGACGCACATTAGTTGGCATATTGATACTTCAAATCAATGTTGTTGTAAAACAAACTATTTCTAAACTCCGGTCTGGAAACATGCTTTTTGTGTAAGGCTTGTCAAAATATGAAGCCCTTAAGACAAAAAAAAAGAGCGTTTTTTGAGTTAAGTCCTCAATTCGAACTCTTTTTGTTCGCGCTCCGCCTATTGAAAAGCACGCGGGAAGGGCCTCAGCACGCACCTCGTAGTGTTGCGCCGCAATGTTCTTCCGCCGCATAAAGGCCGTCTGCTTTCATCGCCGTCACCATGGCAACGAACGCCGATTTTCCGAACGCCCTCTGCTAACCAAAGTTTAATAGTTTTGTAACGAGCAGCCGCAGACTGTCGCCGCGAAGAGCGCGAACGTAGGCGGGGGTGGGTTAACACGCTCCCCAGTGAAACACGCGCCGTCCGAAAAGGTAATTCGGCGTTCGTTGCCATGGTGACAGCAATGAAAGCAGGCGACCTTTTTGCTGCGGAAGAACATTGTGGCGCAGCGATGCGAGGTGCGAGCTGAGGCGCTTCCCGCATGCCTTTCAATGGGCGGAACGTGAACAAAAAGAGTTCGAAATAAAAACTTAACGCAGAAGGCTGGTTTTCTCTAGTGCTTGATTATAATGCGACTAAATGCAAAGGTGCAGGCGAGCTGGACAAGAATGACGAAAATAATCCCTGAAGAAAGGTAACAAGAGGAACAATGGACAAACACAAATCTCCAAACACAGCTAAGTGACTGGTGCACGACCGAAAAAATCCGCCTGGTCCGGACCGGACCAGGCGAATTTTTTTCCGTCGCGTTTTGTCCTTGGTTCCTCTTGTCCCCCTCTCCAGGGATTATGTTCCTCATTCCTGTCCAGCTCGCTTGCGCCTTTGCATTTAATTGCATTATAATCAATGTCTTGAATATTCTTGCTTATATGCCGATAGACAACGGTTATTTATGTTTATAAAGGTGTATGAAGTCTTTATAAGTTCTTATTGTAATACAGCCGAGTCGCTTTGCCTATTTAAATGTTTTTAAAAAAAAGCAAACGCAAAGCAACTTCGAGCTTGACATAACAGATAGAGCCGCGTGCGTCACGTCACGGTTGTTATCGACGTCTCCGATTTCGTTTGATCTCTGGAACATTCTGTAGAAAACATTGTTTTGCTGTCACCAAAGTGTAGGACGTCATGTTGGCATGCGCACGGGCGCGCTGTCCACTTGCGCGGCGTCGCACATTTGCTTTGGCTAATAAAGCTTACCGATACCGACGCTTCAGTCCAAGTGAAATACGACAGTTGCTGGATAGCACTCATACGGCAGCCTGCGGACCAAGTTTAGGTTTTTAAAGCATGAAATGCTTTACCCGCTAAATTTAGCGAACAATTTGGTGTCACGTGACCTGACGTCACTGGATCTAGAGACCAAATCTGCGTCCCCGCTTTATTTAGCGGAAAAATTGACGTCACATGACCTATACACCAATTCAGTTTCCTCGCTAAATTTAGCGGGTAATTTGATGCCACGTGATTTGACATCACTGAACCTGGCGACCAATTCAGTTTCCCCGCTAAATTTAGCGGCAAAATGACGTTACATCACCTGTACACCAATTCAGTTTCCCCGAGCCTTCAGTACTCACGCCTTCAAGCAATTATAAAATGCCATACCTCAAAAACCGAAAAAAAAGGTGAAATATAGGTTTTGTGACATTATCCGAACACATAAAGCTAGCTGACGAGCCCAGAAATCTGTGCCGTGTCGTCTGCTCTCTCCTACTCGCTATGTCACAAACGATGATGATGATAGCTAGAAAAGCGCCCCCTGTAGTTCGCGCACGTAGCCAATGCTGCTTTTTCTTCTTTCTTTTTTTTCTATTTGTGTTTTCAGGGGGTTACAATTCTATTTTATCCACTTTGCAAGCCACCTTACTCAAGTGAAATTGTGAAACCACAGCCGTTGACAACTCGATCAATGTGCGCGGCGCGGATGCCTGGAAAGACTCAGCACATCAATGGTGAAAGCTAAAAGTTGCATACATTGAACGTTTCTTAACGTACATTGGAAAACTCATGAAAGCCAAATGTGATGCTATGATAAAAATACAAATTTACACTTATCTCTTAGTTTACACTTAAAAAATAAATATGAAAAACATGCAAAACCCGCATCTGTTTTCAGGTCACCGATCCGAATGGGGCAGCAAAAAGCATGCCTTATAAGTTGGTAGCGGGACAGTGTGGTATGTACTTCCAAAGTACATATACTAAAATTGGAACGATACAGAGAAGATTAGCATGGCCCCTGCGCAAGGATGACACGCAAAATCGTGAAGCGTTCCACATTTTTTTTCTTTTTTTACCTATTACCAAATTATAATATGACCCAGTCAATTTTCGTCCCGGTGGCAAGACGAGATTATATGTTCCTTTATTTCCACCAAAAAAAACTTGCTGTATTTCTCTTCTAACGCTGATTATGACTCAACTATGTCGCAGCACAGCGCCCGTTTCAGACGCAAACGCTGCATAAAATCTCATATCGACCTGGATCTGGGCTAATTTAGAAATAAATGTGAAGAAATGAATATATATGGCTACCCGATGGTTTAATAAAATACTCCCAAGGGGAACAAATTATTTGGGTAGTTTAAAGTAAACGTATTTATATTGCATTAATAAAAGTATCGTAGATTTAGCAGCAATCATCTGTCAGTCTGGCCACCGTAAAAATTGCACCGGATTGCTCGAAAAGAGCGATCCGAGAACCGAGCCGATCCGAGCCGACCCACATTTTTTTTTTCACTTTCCGTGCATTTTTTCTCCGGGGGGTTATCGGCTCCAACTTCGTAAAGCGACGGAATGCTCCATATAAGGGAGCGGCGGCTGCCATGACGATCCCCAGCAAACATCATCCGCCCCGTCGGAGCCGTCCAACGGCATCATGACAACAATCGGCCGACGTAAACGATGAGCAAGCGCGCTACAGCGACGCCAAGCCCAGACCGGGCAGCGGACGGCTCTGAGAGGCCCTCCGTCCGACCCCCGGCCGAAGGCAGCGCCGATCCCGACATCGCCGAATCTGACGAACTCTCCCAGCTCCGCTGCTCGAGCATCCAGACCGAACAGGTAATCGCCGAAAGGAACCGACGCAACAACCGCCAGCCGAGCGCAGGCTACCCCGGCCTCGCCTTCGGCGGCTCCATCTTCAGTTCGGGCACCTTGATGCGGTTCAGGGTGATCGCCAACGAACTGCACAACATCACCAACGTACAATTGAAGCGTGCCGAAGGCGAGGTGTCTGCCCTTCGAAACCGAATTCAAGCGTTGGAAGAAAACCTGGGGAAGGAAGAGAGCGAACTCAAGCAGGCGACGCAGGAGGTGACTCAAGCCAGGATCGAAACTCAAAGGGACTGCGAGGATCAGGAGGATCCCGCCGAGATGTCGCTGCTCGACAGCCAGCTGGTCGAATCGAAGCAGAGGTACGAGGCCATGTCGCGGCAGATCGCGCTGCTAGACGCTCAGTTTGAGCCGCCGAGCAAGTGAGAAGTATGTGCCGGAATATGCGGCCGTGTCAGTGACCCGTTTCTTGTTGTTCCGAGTCGTGAAAGTTCGTCCGTCGTGTTGCCTTGTTCCGCGGTGAAAGTGGCCGGGGACTTCCGTTTCCGCAAAAGTCGGCGAGTGCCGGTCGTGTTTCGTGACTGCCTGCCTCCTGTCGTGGCGTCATACGTTGCGGTGGCCCTGATTGGCTGTGGTGGTGGGCACTGCACATGCGCAGTGTCATGCTCTGTGAATTGCCCGGAGTCTGCTTCTCAGCTGCGCTACGCAACCGTGGGTCTCGTTTGTAAGAATGTGTAGCTGGTTGTCACGTGACATACATCAAGTTGTTTGGGGGCTAGCACCTCTTGCAAAGTTAGGTTTTCAACCTTGATGGCACATACCATGTCAAAAGGTTGCATCTGACCATTTTGTCACATATGCTGTATTTTTGTGCCCTGCTGCCTACCTGGTTTTCCTCGTTAATAGTGGTGGTAGGATATGCAACGTCCGCTGATTTGATTAGTGGTTGAAGTAGTTTTATTCGAGAAGTATTTCTGGGCTGACCCGACAAAAGTTGGGAATTTAATTGCACTCTTTTGAATGAAAAGGTGAAAAGTCTTAAATTTATATTTTTTGGTTTCATCTTATGTCTACTTCTCTATTATAGTTGCTTAATGGTTGATTACATGAGCAGCTTAAACACATTAGATTGGCAGTTTCTGTTGTAACCAACGGTCACCATAACATATACCACAGTGAAGGCTGCGGGCACAAGGTCGTAACCTTGGTATGTGCTCCTGCTGCCCAAGAGCTCATGCAAATAAGATAGATTCTGAAGCAAGACGGTAGCACTTGAAGCTTTGACTGCAGTACTTGTTAAGATAAGACGATGCAGGGTGCTGCCTGCCATTACAATTGAAGCAATTCACCACCATGCAGCTGTAGTCAAGTCACAAACATGGTTGTGTGAACTGCGCTGGCAAACAGTCCTCGTAAGAAACATTTGGATCACTGTCGACCAGGGAAGCTGGATCAGAAGATTTGTTGTGCCTATGCTGTGCTTGCAGCAATCCATGTGACAAGTGCATTGTCGAGAGAAAGAGAGAGAGAGGAGAAGAAATCGGTAGGATAGGAGAAAGTTGTGTGACTTATTGACAAGCTTGCAATGCCTTGTCTGCGGCCGCGTGTTTCTACGTGTTGCTGTGGCTGCCATTGGGGAGGTTAAATGGAAAGGGGATAAGAGGAGGGTTAATGAGATTAAGCACTGACCATTGCAAGTTGGCTAGCAAAGCACTTCTGCCACAACCTTTGTCACATGACATTAGCCCACCACCTTTTGAAGCCACCTTGCAGCCATGATTCGGTCCAGTACGCTGCTGAGAACAGAGATGGTTGGTGTCATGACTTGGAAGCTCTGTAAGTACTTGCAGGGATGATAGACTACGAGCCATCAATGATTAACTCCTACTTCAAGATCTGTTTTTATTTTATCCTCAAAACTACACAAAGTCTCATTGTTGATGTTGAAAGTTTAAGCATGCGTCTTCCAGTGGGATTTCTCTTATGCATGGCTGCTGATTATGAACCTCCAGCTTAGGTACCCTAGGTTATATGGCAAAATACGAGATATGTTAGATTCTAAGCTGCTTTAGTATGGGTGATGATAAGACCATCTACATGGTATTGTGCTCTCTCAAGTGAGGAAAACCAATTCCAACCTTAGTTCTCCAATAGCTCTGTTGTTAGTGTCCCCAAACAACATCATGAGAGGAGAAAAATTGGGGACTGTATTCTCTATCTTGTCGGAGCACTTCACCACGGCTGTGCTCGGTGTCTAGATAATCTTATTTTATCTCAAACAACTCGGAGAAGAAAATGCAGAGGCCTGCTAATAGCAGCAGTTGGTCGAAGATCAAGCCGTACCTTGGCATGCATACTCGACTGTCAACACAGTCTGCATTACCTTATCTCCTGTGCAATCTCTTGTACAAACGCTGCATTCCTCACCCCTTTCGACTTGAATGCTCTCGCCGTTTTTTTCTGCAGCCTAATTAAGTCATTTTATGCATAGAAAGTAGAGGTTGGTGTGCCTTGATTGGCATGCATATTATTGTTACTGACACGCCATGGTGGTTTTTCATTTACTCGGCCATACGATGGTTTTGCCAATACCGCATGAAGTGCCTTCAACGACAAACCTGTGATCTTTACTGCCTTTCGCAATGAAGTTGATAGTGGTAGCAGGCATTTCTAACATTTTTTCACATGACGTGAATTTCTCATGGTGTGGATTCCGATCGACAGTGTCGTCCTACGAACGGCAGCTTTTTTATTACGACAATGGTTTTACTGCATGGGCATATGTGCATTAATTACTCTCGGCTTTCTTGTGCCAAGCACTGGATGTGAAAAACAAACCAAGGAAGCCTTCTCACGGGTTACCACAGTCTGCTCCGAGTTCCTCTTTTTGAGCCTTGTCCCATTTATGGAGGTTCTTTATAGTGTCTCCGGATGGCTTCTACTGTTATTTTGCAGGATCTCTTTTCCTTCATACTTTGTTCACGGGCATTGCGTGTTGTGGCTGCAAAGAAACGGTACTGCTTGTCGTGTTATTGGTGTTCTGACGCAGGCGACTTTTTTTAGCCTCGAAAGATTGCATAGTGCGTTCACCTTGTTATCTGTATTTTCTGGCCAAAGACTACACGCAACCTATATGGTCTCTACCACAAACGTGCCTTTACTGACTTCACTCATGTAACCCTGGCTAACTGTTCGCCAGGGCATCTAACTATTAGCATGTGACCCGATACGGCTCTATCAAATGTCATGCCTGGTATGATTTGATCAGCACAATCTACAGATCAGCCCTGAAAAGATTCTCGAAGTCCAGTGTCCGTTACAGCAGATGTCACGAATCAATTTGATAACTTAGTCTGGCATCTAGATTTTTCTTTACACATGTGCATCTCTTATTATAGAACCTATTGGCACGACTTTTGAATGGCAAATGGTGCAGACATATACATTTGAAGAATTTGTTCTGAAGCAATCTATGCAAACAAGGTCCGAGATGTTACAAATGTTGGCGTCCTTGGGGCGGTATCTTTACAGCACTGTTTTCCAGTGTTTTAAATATTTTATATATAAAGTTTTCAATTAAATATATTTAGAGTACAGCATTGACCTTTTCTTTGTGTGTGTGCTTATACAGGAACAATGAGCAAATTCTGTGCTCTGATATGCCAGTGTACAACATGGTCAAGGTGTGTTTGCAAAGTGGCATAGGACGACTGCTAGGACAACCTCCAGGAGAATCTTAAGGACGACGTTGAGAACGATGCCTAGAGGTTGACGTCTAAGACGACCTCAAGGATGACGTAGAGAACGACGCCTAGAGGAGGACACTTAAGGAGCCTGTGGCATATTTGCGTGGGTGTCCACGTTTGCCTGCGGAAGCCGCCATAGATGTCGACGATGCGGTTGCTGTCGAGGCTATAGATGTAGACGCGGTTGCCTCCCAGTCCATTGCACGAAGCACACACTGAGCAGAGATGAAGTCCGAAGCGCACCTTTTGCACACAACGCTCTGCCGGTGACATCACGCTGATGACAAATGATGCCATCATGCTGATGACGCTTGGTGACATAATTTTATGGCCATCTTTCGGGCACAACAACACCGCCGCCGCTTGTTTTTCATGTAATGTGACAAATGAGGTCGTCCTAGGGTCTAGGACGACCACAAGGACAACGCCACGATAATGGGACAAGTAGGGTTGCCCATTGAGCGGTGCGCATCACGCAGTCGTGTTTTTGTCGGCTTTTTCTACGCTTTTTCGCTCAGTAAAACAAGTAAGGCTTTCGCTTTAATAATGGTTTTGAAGCAACCTGAAACTGAGGAGTACAAAAGTTGCCACTAAGAGAAAGAAGGAGAGCGTTTAAAAATGTTCAGTATATACCAGCTCACTTGAGTCCTTATGTTCTGTTCGATAATAATTACAATCTCCATATCTACTCAGGAGGGTTCAGGTGTGCCTAGAAAGGCTAAAGGCCTCTACGAGTAGGGCTAGTACACCCAGCTGCATGCCATTACGTTGTGGGCATGCTTCTATAAGGTAAAACAAGATTTTTATGAACAAAAGGTTAGGGCGGAAACAAGTCGGCGAAGGTTTAACATTTCAGACAAAACCCTGAGACGGGGAAAGGGAAGGACAACACGAACTCTTTGCGGTGTGTTGTCCTTCCTTTCCTCCTGTCACGGGGTTTTGTCTAAAATACTAAGAGTTTTTGATGTGTTTTTGTGTTGTTTGCACCTTCACATAGCTGTTGGTCGACCAACTTCACAGAATTTCTTTGAAAGTTCGAGCACCTACCAGTTCGGGCTGAATAATGTCAGACTGCATATTTTCCCTTGAACTAAAGCTACAATTAATGCAAATCGTTGCAGCAGATATCATACCTGTGGCATTAGGTACGCAAACCGAAAGACGGACATCGATGTCACGTCGGCCCGTACAGGTTAGTAGTAGTAGTAGAGAACGTCTTTATTAGCCGCAAGACAGGTAAGGGGAAATGGGAGTCTCGTCGACGGCTTGTAGCCGTGGGCAAGGGGGCACTTTAGAGTAGCTCCCTCAACACTTTAAGCGCCGTTCACACTCTTGCGACCGACTAAGACCGATAGAGACCAGACCGGTTTTTAAGCCTTTTGCGACCAGCTCGATGCTGCCGAGCTGGTCGTAAGAGATCGCAAGAGGCTTAAAAACCGGTCTGGTATTAATTGGTCGTACTCTGAACGGGCCTTAAGAGTAGCTCCCTTGCCGTGACGACCATGGCCTCCGAGATGCCGAAGCGCGCTGCGAAATCTCGGAGGCCATGCCCATGTGACGACGCCACTGGTTTGCGCCATGGCCGACAGATGGCGGCAGCGGTCCCCTCGCCAAACCAGACAGCCTAGATTTGAGAGCGGAAGTGAACTTAGTTCACTTCAGCGGAAGCAATCCAAACCACGTAAATAAATGGCCGTCGCTTCGTGCGCCATTTAGGGGTGGAATGCTTGAACAAGAATGGGAGATGATTGTGCAGGCGATCGACGCCTTAGTTTCCTCATTGTACCCATTAACCACGTGACTCGATCGAGCAGTTGGAAACGCCCAAGTCTAAGCACTCTACGTCAACCTTGGAGATTTTTCCTGTGCCAGCTGGAACCACAAATCTGATGCAACTCTCCAATAAAAAAATAATTACAATAAAAAAGGGTAAAGTAATGGTTTTTAAAATAGGGAGTTTGAGAACGATCGCCTCGATAAGGACCCCCGATAGCGATAGGATGGACGAGCAAAGCCGCCGGGGGGAGTATGGGGTGTCGTTATAGGAGTTATTGGGAACGATCTACCTGATCTACAAAACCTCTCTAATATACCAGACCTCTCTGGGCCTTTTGGTTGTGGTTTCATCAGCGTGCCTCTCTGTAAGCCCCGCAAACAAATAGGAGAGAAAAAAAGGCGACATTGTTTTTTTATGTTTTATTTTGACACATGTCTTCTCCGGGAGCACTGCCTGTAAGTTAACAGTGATAGCCTTAGAACCTTCAAAGGAGAGAAAAAAAAAAAGAAAGGTTGGCAACAATTCAAGACAGTACGTAAACAAACCACGAGCAGGATGTGCTCCTAAAATGACAACAAAACAAGTGGTATGCCCTTCTGAACGCCCTTCTAAAGTTTACCGCCGAATTCAGAAACCTCACTCAAACTACACTCAAACTCAAGGGCCCCTTCACTTCCTCGAGGAAGGCGCGAGGGCCGGCGCTGGCCAATCGCGAGGACAGATCCGCCGTCGCGATTGGCCAGCGCCGGCCCTCGTGCCTTCCTCGAGGAAGTGAAGGGGCCCTTGAGTTTGAGTGTAGTTTGAGTGAGGTTTCTGAATTCGGCGGTTAGTGTTGGAAAGCAACTTGAAAGGGATGAACAACTTGAAGAAAGACAACTGTACTTCCCTGTGTCACAATGTACACTTTTTTTTACAGCCACTGATAAGGATACAACCACAGCTGGGGTAATTATCTAAATAGCGAAATTAGTTAGCAAGGACAGCTTACTACAATTATCTTTTTGGGCGACGAACAAAGATGGAGACATACAAACCTGCTTCTGAACAGAAATAGTCAAGGTCAGGTTATCACAAGCCTGAGGGTAATCAACTACATACCCGGTTCTAGTCTGGCTATGTCATTTAATTATATTTTTATGTCTAAACATTTAAAAGCGCCGAAGAGAACAATGAAGAAGACGTGACAACACAAGGTGCACTCTCAAGTTGCAACTATTCTTTATTCGAAAAGAACACATAATATCGCCCCCCCCCCCCAAAAAAAAAAAGAAAAAATCTTCCATTTTGCTGGGACCTCCTCTCCCCCCCTCCTCATCATACAGCATTTTGTCATGGGCGCCCCCCCCCCCCCCCCCCCCCCCCCCCCCCGAAACAAAATCCTGGCTGCGTGCCTGATACTCACGGCACACTTTATGTGTTGGGCTGGATTAAAAGGCAAAAACACACCGACAGAACGGTACGCAGTGACGTTGCACTTTCGAAGCTGTTTGATTCACTCGTCGGTTCGTAGTGTGGGCCGCGCTCCGGCGTTCGGGATCTTATGGGATGACTTGCACGTTTCACAATGTCAGTTGTTCCGCAATTGTACAGTGGTTCCGACCTTCTAATAGTCGGCACGTGGCTTTGGTTAGAGCGATAAACTGGTATCCCGTTCACCAGGCAAAAGTAACCCCCACTTGACTGCTGCCATGTTGTACAATTTCGATCACTAGACACGTGAACGTACCAAATCCTGAGGCTTTTACGCAAATCTGACCCGAAATTTGTATTGCGATTGCTGTAAAAGATATGATAAACATTTTCTTTTTCTAATACTGTTAGCCCTAGTTAGCCCCAGAGAGCTCTGATAAAAACCCAAAATACAGCACCGCGGTTGAAAGCATCTAGTGGAGACATTGCGAAGCTGCTCGCGTTTTTTGTCGTAAAAACACATTTTGGAGTTAAACGGAACGTAACTTATCTCGTCGGTACTGTCATTAAAGATCAATAAGCAATTATCTGTGCGCGGTACTTCGTTAAAATATAAACCCAACACTATAAGGTCACGTGTCCAGTGGTCAAAAATGTGCAACATGGCAGCGGCCAATTGGGGGTCACTTTCCGCTGCCAGTTTATCGCTAAGGCCCTCTACCTCGTTGATAAGATGGTACGGCTTTGCCACAGAATCAACAGCCCCGAGCAGCCGTCTGATCCTTGCAGCATAAAGCACAAAACTAAATTTGCTGAGTGTGCGTCGGGCGTTGTTTACGAGATACCCCTGTCGTGCGATGCTGTGTACATTGGCCAGAGATCAGTGGGCCAGACGGCAGGCACGTAACCAGGATTTTATTTCGGGGGGGCGGGGGGGGGGGGGGGGGGGGGCGCCCATGACAAAATGATGTATGAGGGAAGGGGTGGAGAGGAGGTCTCAGCAAAATAAAAGATTTCGGGGGGGGGGGAGCATGACCCCCCCCCCCCCCCCCTCTGGCTACGTGCTACAAGACGGGCAGATGCCTGAATGACCGTGCGCGCGAGCACACGGTCATTCAGGTATTCGTCATGACTATGTATGTGCTCTATCATCGCTAAACCAATCATAAACAGGAAAGACCCAGTGACTTGAGCGTTTGATGCTGCTTGATTGGTCTCATTAGCTCGTAGCGCCAGCTGAGTCTATAGACTGACGCTGAAACGAACTTTAGCCCTCCTGGCCATCTCGCCAATCGCTGCTGTGGATGCCTGTGCAAGCCATGTCATTAAAGCCAGGTACAAAAACAAAACAAGCAGAGGAGTTCATCAGGAGTAGATTGCCTAAGTGAGGCATCAATTTCCCTATCAAAAAAAGTTTGAATATATCAAACGATCTTTGCACCGACCTGCTTACTGAAATTGTGCAGTACGGCCCAAGCTACAGGAGAGAGAGCGTACCCAGGAGCAATTCAAGATGAGGGAAAGGAGCAACGGGAGAGAGAGACTGGGAATCCCAGCCTCTCTCTCCCGTGTTCTTTCCGAAGAAACAACATTTGCGAATACGCTTTCTATGGTCTTAACGCTTCTTCGTCCTTGTTGCTTTCGGCGCTTTTATATATATATATATCTTT